CATAGAACACATGGCTTGAAATAAAAATATAGAAATAGTGAAAGGAGAGTTTACGTTTTGGAATGGCTTTCCAGATGAGTAATAACACTTTTTTTTTAAAGTCTGGGTGACGAAATGTCCGAAATTGTTTATTTCTTTACATTAAAGGCTAACACCCTGTGTCTCTCAATCAAAAACAGTCTGAGGCTGGTCCCTTTCAGTTCCTGAGAACATCTTATTATCAACTTCTTGTGTAGATGCAGTCCTTGATTCCTTTCAATAAATTAATAGTACTCTCCCAAGAAGAAAAAGGTTTTACTGGCATTGTTGCTGCTCTGTTCTTTTAAGGCCATCATCTTTTTTTTCCCTGATCTTGAAATTTTTAGCTGACGTCACTGCCCCAGTGAACTACCTGCGGCTTCCCAGATGCCACCAGCCTCCCAAAACCTACACCTGCCTAAGCAGGTGGCCTATGCCCTGGTCAGCACCTAACACCTGTCCAAAGTCCAAAGACTTAACGAAGTGAAAAATAAACTCACCTACAATGAAAAACATACCCTACTTTCTTTAGTTAATATGTTTCCTTTTGATGGATAGAATCTGTTTTCACATTTTTTTTTATTAAAGCCACAATATGACCTTTCTAATACCATCCAACTTTTATTCCATGATAGCCAGCTGTGATTATTTTTTTTAACCGTGAATGAATAAGGCACCTCATTATTACTTCTTCCAGTTCTAGAGAAAATTTTCCGTGATTCGTCAGGGGTACGGTTAGGTATGCTTACTTAATTTCCAAGATTGCATCTTCACACCACACTTGAAAGTCCCCTTCTGCTATTCACAATTTATTAGCTGACAGCTGGCCTTGATAAAAATTTAAACAGCACAAACCAAGAGCCAGAAAGAGGAGACTTTCCCAAGTATTAATTCTTTTTTACACAGTTATCGACCCTCAATAAAATGGAAGTTATAGTATCTGAGAATTACATGACTAATAGAAAGGATTTTCACTTTACAGTTTGATTTTCTATGAGAAAATTTTAAAAATGTTTTTCTGGTCTACACCCAATACCAACTACCTGAGAATCTTCGTGCTCTGCTCTGTACATTAACTGTCAGTTGTGGCTTTTCTGAAGTTCTCTTACACATCCAAAAAAAATGGTCACCATCAAAGGATCTGGTTAGAATCATCACCCGACACGAGGGCAGCTCATCTCCTCAAAATTCATCTCTGAACAGAAATGGGACTCAGCATTTAATCTAATTACAGTGACTTCATTTCTTCAACAGCACATGGATAGGTTTCTGGCTAACCCTGCCAGCTGGAAGTGAAAAAAGAAAAAAAGGAAAATAAAAGATAGACAAAAAGAAAATAAATGTACAGAAATCCTGTGCAAGGGATTTTTATCTAACGATATAGTTGTTCGAATTGCTTACATCTATAGAACTGCATCAACATGGTCATTCTTTCTAAAAAAAAAAAAAAAAATTAAGTGGAAGCCATATGACTCACATGCCAAGCAAGTCAAATAATCCTAACTTGTTAGACAAAGCATATGCAGATGTTCTTGGGTTTTTTGTCCTCGTTGGCCACCGTAAAATATAATTTGACCTGTTTGTTAATGAAAGTACCAAAGCAATTGTGAGCAATAAGTTGTAGTTTCAAATGCCACAGGGATTTCGCATTTCCTGTGAAAATATAAAGCAATGATGAGCCTGCATCTTTTTTTTTTTTATGTATTTGGTACAGGGTCTCACTACGCAGCTAGGACTCATAGTGATCCTGCTGTCTCAGCCTCCCTAAAGCTGGGATTACAGGCATGCGCCACCATGCCCCGGAATCGGTGGCTGGTTCAGCGCAGTAAAGGCAGGGCTGGTGCAGCATGTAGTGCTGGGTATCGAATCCCAGTCCCTGTGCTTGCTTAAGCAGGCACTTAGTCTGCTGAGCCAGCCCACGTGACTACATCTTGAATCTGGACTCTCTTGCAATGTTTTATCACAGCACTGTTATTTTTGTCACTTAAAAATTCAGAGGCAGATCTTGAATCAATAAGATTGAACAAAGATACTTGTTTGGACATTGGGAAAAGAAAACAGATTTCTCTTCCATGGATAATTTCTCATGCTTAAAAATGGTGATCCTCTCTCCTATACTGAGTCAATAATTTCACCCCAACTTTTAGCTCTGACTCCACAAGTTAAGATGCCAGCTGTATTCAGTTTTTTATTTTGAAGATGATTTGACCCTTAATTTCTTAATTATAGGAGGAAAAGATAGGGTGTTGAGGATGTCACGTACTTCTTCAATTTAAATGATATTTCAGAGTTTGAGCAAAACTTTGGAAACATGCATGTTATGCTAAGCCCATTTTTTAGATTTTCATATGCACATATAAATATGAGGAGAAAGAGGAGACATTTTACAGGGGAGTACTAGCCCATGTTGAAGTTTCCTTCTCAAAGTATAGCTTATCTAACTAGAAAATATAAAGACACTGGGTACTATCTGTGGACAATGATACAAAGACTTCTGATCTTACAAAGGCAAATGCGGTCAACTGGACTCACACATCTAAATATAGGGATCTCATTAGGACCCACTGGGAAGATTCTTGGCCATGCCAGATTCATTTTTTTTTTTTCATACCCAACACCGAGACTCTCATCTAAGTTCAGGTGAGTATCGTTAGCTAGAAAGAGCCGGATGCAGTGGTACACACCTGGTATCCCAACCCTCTGGAAGGCTTAGGAAGGACATGTAGGTGTTGGCTGACAGCTAAGATAGCTTAGCAACTCGGGGAGTCCATGCTTCTAACTCAGAGATGATGATAATGAGGAGGAGGAGGAGGAGGAGGAGGAGGAGGA